TGGCTCAGGTTCTAAGAACCAGAGGTTGGAGGACAACTCAGATGCAAGATCCAGACCAGCAGGGAAGAGAGTGAGTCTTTCTTGCATGTCCATTATATTGGAAGTGGGCCACAACACCAAGGAAGCATCCTTTCAATTGGTGAGTTGTTCATAGCCAATCATCACAGTTACCTATCAACGGCCAAACAACTGGGAATCCTGGCTCAGTCAAGTTGACACAAAACCTAACAATCACACTGGGGAATTGACACTTCTATAATGTGGAATCTTTCTAAAAACACATATGTATTTCCATTTTTAAATTATTCTTTTCTGTTTTGTTTTGTTTTTACCATGTTATCACCACAACTCTGTCAGTGTGTCTTACTTGGTCAAAGTCAGAGAATAACAAAACTATATTTACCTGTTTTATTGACTATGTGAAGGCATTCAACTGTGTGGATCATAACAAATTATGAACAGCATTGCAAAGAATGGGAATTCCAAAACATTTCTGTTCATATGGAACCTGTATGTAGACCAAGAGACAGTTACTTAAAGAGAACAAGAGAATGTTGCATATTTAAAATCAAGAAAGGTGTGCATTAACACCATATGTGTAGTCCTGATCCCCATCCAGAATCTTCTGAGGTGGGAAATGTCCACTTGAAAGGACAAACAGACCAGCCTGGAGCAGCTAAAAGAATAAAAAATACTTCTAAAAAGAAAGATCAGCAGGAAAAATAAAAAACAATAACGGCAGTCTGACTACTACAAGATCAAGCAAGTTGTTCGCCCGTAAGCCATCAAGGTAAATGGTCATGTCCCCCCAGGGCAAACCCCCTAAGACTCAAGGAGAATATACAAGTGGGCATATGGTCTTGCTGGTGACCATGTTGGTCACCAATAAGAGGAAGTGGGGGTAAAAACAGCAATGAAGTTGTGAGCTAAGTCTGACCATGCTCATGTAGACTCATGTCAGCCTGGGTTGAGACCTGGTTGGCCAGCAGTATGACAAGACCTGGGGACTCCTGGGCCCAGAGACAGTGACATGGCCACAGAGGACTAAAGTGGAGAGTGACGCATCCAGTTGATATGAAGTGAGGGGAGATGCACAAGAACACCCATACTTGCAGACAGTACCCCACTTGACCTGGCTTCAATGGCTGTATGATCAGAACTCAACTAGAGGAAGAAAGAAGAGAAAAAAAAAAGAGTAATCTGCTACAATTTGATGAATTTTACCTATATTATGGATGTAGTAGCTCAAAAGAGGGAACAAATCTTTACTGTGATGATCATTCCCACCCTCTTGGTGCACAGGGTCTACAGGGATGGGCAAGTTAGACATTGGCTACCCAAAATGGGGGGGTGGGGCTACAAAGGCAATAAGTGACTGGCTTACAAACTTTCAAGAGGAAGCCTAATTTCAGAGGGTGGGGGGAAGAAGGTAGAATCGCCACTGAGTGGTTTCCAACCTGACTGGATGGGGCTGATGAAAGGAGATGGGGATAAGACTCTTGTGGTTCAATAGTGAATAATTGCTATCAGGACTTACTGTTAGTGTTGCAAATGTAAAGGTAGATGTTTTGAAACAAAAGGAGGGGAGTGGCTGATTTTGTAGTCCAGGAGCGGACCATCAAGGGAGAAGAGCAGTGTGTGGGACCCTGTCCAGAGAAGCAGTGACACCAGAAATGGAGGCAGAGATGATGAAGTGGAGAGATGGACTAAGGGAGAGAGAGGGTCTGTCAGCTGATGACCAGGGACCAGGCTTGCAGGGTGTACCCTTTGATTGTTTGATGATGCATGGAGGGGATTGTAATCATAAGCTAATGTTCTCCCATGTAAACTATCACATAATTCACAATAAAAACTTTTTAAACCTTCAGAGACAGGAAACTTTCCTCTTGAAAGGACAAGCAGAACAGCCTGGAACAGCCAGAAAACCAGAAGACACATACTGAAAGAAAGACCTACAGGAAAAATACAAAACAATAAGGACAGTCCAATAAGCAAGTCCAACAACAAGTTATTACCACAAGAACAAGCAAATTGCCTACCCAGGAGACATCAAGGCAAGTGGTTGGGTCCTCTCAGTGCAAATCCTCTTCTAAGATCAAGATGCAATGGAAATACACACCCTGATTTGCGACCACGCACATCACCCATAAGGAGAAGTGACCGAAGAACATCAATGAAATGGCGAGCTAAGCCCTGCATCATTCAGCAGAATACTGTGAACCCGGGTGGAGACCTGGTCGGCCAGCAGCGAGGCAAGACCTGGGGACCCATGGGCTCAGAGTCAGTGACACAGCCACAGAGGACTAGAGTGGAGAGCA